CTAAATTAAAATAAGAACTACTGGTTAAAAAACTGAATTTACTTAATGATTACGTATAAACTAAGATAGAATTTGATTTAGTGATAAAACTAGTTGCAATTAGCCTAAAGTGTAAATTACACATTATTCAAAAATAAAATAAAATTGTCTTTAAGTGCCTTGTTTGGTTTATATATTGAGAAATTACCCTAAATAGGACTAAAAGCACTTCTATATTCTAAAAATAGGACTGTCATGTTTTTATTCCCAAAATAGGACTAATTACTGTCATGTTTTGGCAGTACCAGACTTTAAAGATGACAGTATTTTCCAAACTTGACAGTAATTACTTCTATTTTGGGAATAAAAACATGACAGTCCTATTTTGAAATTTTTAAACTTATTTAGTCCTATTTCGGGAACTTTCCCCAAAATATTTTGTACACTCATTTTTGTATACAAATAATTCATCATTCAAAAAATGGATAAATTATTTCGATGCATAAACAATTTATGGACAATTTGTCACTACACAAAAAATTGTACAAATATAATTTTGTTATATTTAATTCAAAAAGATCAATTGTATTGTTAATGGGTGGTATGAGTATTTTTTTAGATACAAACATTTCTAAATGGGTGGTATGAGTATTTTTTTACTCAAAGTAGTAGAGGCCTAGGTAAACTTTAAATACAAATGCCTCTTGCTTTACGGTCATCCCGAGAACTTTACACCCAAGTTCATCAACTTCTCTTTCACCTTTATGGAAAAAATTACAAATGAGTGATTTACATGTTCATATAGCGTAACTGATTACGTAAACTAAATGTTGTACTACTTACATGTCGGCATGTCGCTAAAATTGTCTCATCTTTCCTTTTTGATTCGTCCTAGTAAGATTGTCTGATACCAAATTTGTTAAAGTTTGTGCGACTTTAAATCATTATTACTTTATTTTTACTCTATTAATTCACTTTTTTACTAACACCACCACCTTCTCATGTCCCACTTTTAGTTGGACAAAGGTGGTAGTAAACTATGTGACATCGTCCTTAGGCATGAATTGAAGTTTTAGTAGGACTAAAACTTGCCTAAAAATCACAAATAGGACTACAGCCCTAAATCATTCACAAATAGGACTAAACATTAATTTTCTATCCTAAATACCCCTAAGGGTATTAATTCATAATGAAATGTTTTCATTCATAATAAAATAGTAAAAAATTATAAAAATTAATAAAATACTTGTAAAATAAAATTTCAAAAAAAATTGGATTTTTTAAAAGTTAATATTAATAGTAAAAACTGATTAAAAAAATAAAAAAATAAATATGGATGCCTTCCCCACCACCTCTACCGCCTCCCAGCACCACCACCTCCGATCGGTGAAAAGAGTGTCATTTTTGTAAAAAAAAAACAAATGTCATTTTTTTCTGAAAATGTCAAGAAAATGGTATTATTACCTTTGGTAATGACAAAATTTTCATTGCAACTGCCATAAATATGGCATTTTTAATGCATGTTGGCATTTTTTCTCCAGTGTTCGGAGCTGGTAGCACTGGGGATGCCAAAGGCGGCATTGAATGTTTTTACGTTTTTTATTTTATTTTATTTAAAAAAACTCAAATTTATTTTAAATTTTGTTTTATAAATATTTTATTATTTTTGTACAATTTTTTACGATTTTTTATTAGTTTTTACAATTTTATTATGTATTATAACCAATGTTCTAAAAGACGTGAGGCGGGGCAAGGCGTCGAGGCCAAGCCTCAAGCCTTTGAAGCCTAGGCGGGAATAGGCGAAGCTTAGGCGTGAAAAGGCGTTTCTGATTTATGTTGATAATAATTATTATTTTATAGTGACACATGAAGAGAAAATTAAATGTCCAACATATACTGGTATTATACTAGATTGAGTTTAATTTTTACTATGTTCGATATATATATATATATATATATATATATATATACACACACACACACACACACACACACACATATAATTTTTAAATGTATACAAAGTGAAAATATAAAATGATATATTGTTATTTTTTCACCTTTTATCTAGGCCTCACCTTTTCCATCTCAAAAACACTGAGTGGAAATAGTAAATATTGTAAATACTACGGAGTATGAAAGAGAAGATAAAAAGTTGAAGAAGTTAACACATTCTGAACTTGGCATGATAATAAGATTTTTCAAATCACATAATTGGTCTAGTAAGAAAAATAAAACTTTTTAAATGTAATACAAAGCAAATAAAAAATTAAAGAAAAGATCGATATTTTTTATTAGTAAATACGAAGTAGTTAATTTGCTTAAGGGCTTTCAAAAAAAGTTATTAGGCGCGCCTTTACGGCGCCTTTTGAGGCCTTTTAGAACACTGATTATAACATGTCAAAAGCTACAAGGGTATATTTATCCAAATACACATAAGTAGTCATACTAGGAAATTTAAAATAATGTAGTCCTATTTGTGATTTTGGAATTCTTTTTTATCTTTATACTTATTAATAATGTGGGAATTTTATATGTATAATTACTAATCTCAACATCTAGTCAGCTCCAATACAAATATTCATGGGTGGAACTAGGAATGGGCTCGAGGGGGCCTAGCCCCCCATCTCCCCCAGTATGTTTTCTAACACACACACACACACATATTGGGTAGAATTCCAATAAAAACGAGGATTAGTATGTAAAATAAGAATTAATTTCAGACGTACAAAATGTCAATCTTATGCACAATATCCCTTAGACGAGGTGGCATTATCATAAATATTCGAAAAGTGCATCAGATAAGGTTTATTGCGCATCAAATTGACTCTTTGGATGGATGTGATTAATTCTTATTTTACACGTTAAAATCTTTTTTTATTTGATCCAAACTATTTATATATAGGATCTAGATCAAATAAAAATCACTCCTCCTGTGAAAACTGCAAAGCGTTCACTATTTCCACACTGTGATGCACTATTCGATTTTTATGTTGCACTTTTTTGCATTGACAAAAATCTTTGACTTAATTATTTATGAAAATGCCACCGCATTTTTTTATTTAGCATGGTTCGACCAAAAATCTAGAATTAATCATGCAATGAAATAACAGTTGCATATTGGCTTTGTGTAAGTTAGATACACCTTTTGTCCATAATCGTGCACATGCATGCATTTATCACTTTATATTTTCAAAAAGTTTCTAAGATTATTTCTCATTTTTCATATAAGGACAACCTTGTATTTGAACTTCCCTCCCTCTCTCTGATCTCTATATATACACATGGATATTTTTGTCCGGATATTCCGGAAAAGATCGTCATCCGGCCACCTCGTTTTGAGGTGGTTCCCGGTGGAATATCTTGATGAAATTATTTGAGCATGTTTTGTATGAAGTGTATATCATATCCCCAAAATTTCAGCTAAAAATTCAATCGAGAAGTCATTTTAATAATTTTTTGAAATTAACTGTGTTTTTTATATGTATATTTTGGTGCAATTATGTTTTCCATTGAGCCTTACTCCATTCCACGTAGTGTTTTTTTTCGTTCCAAACGTGAAAAAAAAAACAATGCCCTCTTCTTTCCCCCGCTTTATTTCCACCCCTTCTTCAAACTATCAAACCACCGCTACATTTTCAGTTCCAAACTATCAAACTAGCATAATCCCTTTGCCCGCAGCTTTTCTAACACATTTGGGGGAAGTCTGGTGAACCTGGAACGCGCGGTGGACTGTCCGGACAGCCCTGAAGTGGACCCCACAGACGGTGAAGTTGACCCCACAGCCTGTCTAGTGGCCTTCGAGAGGCTGCCACTGAAATTGTGCAAGCTGCTGCCATTAGCAGTTGGCGGATGGCCCGTGTATGGTCGGGAATAGCTGCTGGAACGTGACCCTGTGGAGACATAATTTGGACCTCCTCTTCCTCCGTTCTGAATGGACAGGTTATGCTCCACATCTCGAGCTAATTTCATGGCCGCTTCAAGGTTATCCGGTGAAAATAAGCGCAACGAGCTTCGAATTGCTTCTTTAAGTCCACTCATGTAGTAGCCCAGATAATGGTCATCAGTCAATCCTGGAACTTGGCTAGCCAGTTGAACAAATTAAACAAGGTATTATAATCCTCCATGGACCCAATTTGTTTGACACCAGACAACCGTTCAAACATGTTCCTCTGCAATCGGGATCAAATCTGGCCACCAGGGCTTACTTGAATTCTTCCCAGGTCATGCCAAGTTTGCGTGCTTTCAGTCAGATTACCCAATAGAGGGACCCTCCTTCCATGGAAACCACAGCAGCTGCCACCTTTTTCTCTGGTAGGGTTCCGTTTAATTCGAATTGTTGTTAAACACGAGCTATCCACACGATCGGGTAATCTCCGTCAAACGTGGGCAACAAGGTTGGGGTGGTGATGCGCAACAGTCCGTCGACGATGGGTGTTGTCACGGCAGCACTTCCGACTGCAGCAGCGGAAATTTTCGGCGAGACCGGCGGCACAAGGGCTTGGGTTAGCGCCGCCAAAGATGCGGAGATTTCAGCCAGCCGCATGTCGTGTTCTTCCAGGGTGTGATTCATCTGATTCTGGTCAGTTGCCATTCAGGCTTGCTCTTCCCCTAATCGGGCTTGCTCCTCTCCGATCCCAGTCAGTTTTGCTCAGTCTCTATCTCAGTCAATCGATCGTTCTGAGATCTTGTCATTTTGGCGGGACGGCATCCGGCAGGTTACACCAATTGATGATAGCAGAAAAATGACAATCAACGGTAGCAACCGTTGCCCAAGCGTGAAGCTAAAAAACCACTTTATTCCAATACTAATCGACAGTTCTAATAACCCTCGTAAGGGGTATAAATAGCCTATTAATTCTAATTAAGGTAGAACTCCTAATTAAATCATACTAGGAAACTTATAATTAAAATAGGAAACATAATAAAACGAAATAACTAGGTAATTAATTAGACAATTAAATATCCAGCCCACGAAGTGTGCTCCAGCCCCGTCCACGCCTTCGGTAGACCAACAAGGGCCTCGGGCCCGCTCTGCTTCGGTCGGCTCCACCGGCTCTCTATCACAAATCGAAAGGATCTTCCATCCTTGTGTTTTGATGATCGAAAGAAAAGAAATCAGGGCCAGAGATAGGAGAGGTTCTTCCACCCCCACCATGTTTTCTGTGACACTTTTACTAGGTATTCTATTCCCAAGGGCGCAGAGCCACTTTGTGGCTCAATTCACCCTTCAATGACCCTAGGTAAGTGCCATCGTCTCTAATTAATTCACTTCACGTTGTGTATAAATTATGATCTAAAATTTGTCTTCCCTTATTTGCATTTCGGATTGCAAATTTATGTTCTTTCTCTGTATTTCAAATATGGTGGTCTGGGTATCAAATATGAATGTCTAAACAGCAGTTTTTAGGCAAAAAGTTTTAAACCAACAATAGCTTCTCTCTCATTTATTCTGGTAATCAAGCATGTAGCCATCGTTCCACCTGCAGAAATACTAATAAGTACCCTCATATGGTACGTAAATCAAATGAAGTGAAACAAATTGTGAGCAAAACAGTATAGTAATGGATAAATGTGTAAAAAAAGTTAGCACTTAGCAGTTAGCACACAAGAAGTTAAGGTTGTTAGGTTCAGGTGTCTTTGGTGTGCATATTAGAGATTGATTAAATGATCTATTTTATTCTAAGTTGTAAATCTTGGACTAAACCCTCTAAAAGTACAAAGTATTTTTGATATTTTAATACATGCAACAATAAGAATGAACCAAATAACATTGAAATTGACAATAGGCGAAGCTGAAGTGAAGCTGAAATGAAGACAATGAAATTTAAGTTTAGTTACTGCCACAAAACCATAAAAGTTGCATCATTGTATTCTCAAGTTGCAAGTCTGAGTAATTTAAAAATATTTTGATAAATGTTAAATATAATACGCTTTATTTCAAAAAAGAGTGTTACGTAGTACTTCGTACTCCCTTCGTTTCAGTTTGTTTGACACACTTTCCCTTTTTGGACGTTTCAAAATGAATGTCACACTTCCCATTTGGTAAACAAAGCAGTGTCAAACAGTGCCAAACAGTGTCAAACAGTGTTCAAACAGTGCCAAACAGTGTTCAAACAGTGTACAAACAGTGCCCAAACAGTAAAATTTACCCCTTAGTAAATGTTTTCCTTAAATGTTGACAAATCAAACTATGTCAAACAAACTGAAACGGAGGGAGTATAAGTTAAAGCCTAGGCTATACCTTTATTTCCCACACTGCAATTTCCTCCCCTTTCTCTACCTGCGTTCTCCACTCTCCATTATATAGGAGTTGTCCCCTATAACATACAAAGTAAATAAAATCACTAAAAAAGAAAGGTAGTTTCTATGGTACCCATAAGGTACCATACCTTTGTCTATATGGACCAATGAGATTGTTGCAGTTGAGTTATTTAAATCTAAATTAAAAATAATATAACGATGTGGACCGATCAAGTGAATGGAAGGTACGATATCCCGTTTTTTAAATGGGTACCGGAGTTGTCACAAAAAAGAAATCACACTTCAATGTAACCCTTGCATCGAAATTCAAAACACTCTTACGACCTCGTCGAATATTAAAACTTAAATACTCTGCAAATTAAAAGACTCCACCATTAAAATAAACACATCCTATGCTCTGAAAAAAGAAATCACGCTCTAATATATACTCCTTCCGTCCCATTTTACCTGTCCTACTTTTCTTTTTGGGTTATCCTAAAATGAGTGTCTACTTTCTTTTTTTTGTAAAGTGGGACACTCGAGTTCCATGATACTTCTCTTCCACCTTTATGGAAAAAACTACAACAAATAATTTACATTTTCATATAGCGTAACTTTGGATGCATTTCAGGCCAGCCTGACATGATCAATAAATTGAAGGCAAACGTCACTAAGGAATGATCAACTTTAGGGCTGACGCGCGTCACACATTCAATTACAATAGTGAACTACCGCTATAGATGTGTGGCTTACCTAGACATATATTCTACTGGCATTTATCCATACAGCCAGTACCAATCATTCAAATATTCAAATATTCGCTATAGATCAGTTAGTTTTACTTGTTCACCGAGTATTTCATATTTGGGGTATAAATATCACCTTTCAATTTGTGGAAAGGGATTCAAATTCTGAGTTTTAGCATATCATTGCTTGGCCGAATTTCTTACTGAATTCATACTTGGCATATTTTAGACTCACGATCGGATCTTACTATCCCTGATCCCTAAGACGATGCCGATTTTTCCAAGAGTCAATGAGTCATAACGTTTTACTCGTAATGAGTTGCGAGGCTCATAATATATGAAATCGAAGAAATTTCAGAGGTATACACTCTCGAACATTCCAGGGGGTTGGCTGACCACCGTGACCCTCTCTTGACTTTGCCCTCGCCCTCATCATAGTTGCCGGGATTCGAACTCGAGACCTACCCCTTGTGGCACCCTCTATCTACCAATTGAGCTACGTCCACCGGCTTATTATGAAGTAATACGAGCTCATAGTCACACTTCTTTTAAAATATTTTTCTATATATTAAAATAAATTGATCACTTTTTACACAACACATATATAGTGAAAAAATTAATGACGACGTACACGATCCAGACGAAGTGTGTCGTCGTGAGGACGGGTGCAGAAGTCCCATACCAGAAATTGTGAAATAATAAAGTGATATATTAAATATATGCTACTCCTCCTTTCAGATTGACCTTTTAAGATCGAATCCTATGTCATAAAAATGCAGTCAACTTCAAAAAATGATTTGAATGCCTTCCCGGTCGAATTTTGAGCTGAAATTTGGTATGGACAAACTAGACTTGATGAAGAACATGCTCAAAAAATTTCATCAAAAAATTCCACCGGAAACCGCCCCAAACGGCAGAGTTCGGACGGCGGCTGGACCGGGGAGGGCTGGACCTGATCTTTTTTGATGAAGTAACAAGAAAAAGTTAAATTCCAAATTTATTTACTCTTATATTGGAATGTTTGACTTTTCAAAATGGAAAAAGAATGATACTCCTATATAGTACGTAATAATAAAAGTATGACTTTAAATAAAAAAGTGATATATAGGCGAATATATTCATGGTACTGAATTACGTGATAAAACTGAATTGTCTTAATAAATATGTATAAACTAATAGAGAATTTGATTCATTGATGAAACAATTAATTACCAATTAGCCTAAGACTTTGTTTGCAACCACTTGTGCTTAAATAAAAGCACTTTTTGGGAAAAAGTGATTAGTAGTAAAAGTTGGTAGTGTTTGGTAAAATAAGTGCTTTTTGTGTAATAGAAAAAGTAAAAAGTAGATTCTACACGAAAATCGAGATAGTAAAAGTTGGTAGTGTTTGGTAAAATAAGTGCTTTTTTCTTTAAAAAAAAGCCAAAAGCACTTATAAATAGAGTTTGCAAACAGAGCCTAAGTGTAAAGCTGGTCTTAAATTCAACACGGTATGCTAGGATTGGCTAGGAAACTTTATCGGTCTGTCGGGCAACTTTTGTTTAACCTTTACCTAAACTATTAGAATAAAGAGATAATTTGAGTTTGCACCCCATTTTATTGTCTAAATTGGACTTTGCACCCCGTTTTTAAAAATCTTTGTTTTTGCACTCCAACCCCAATGAAAAGAGAAAAATGCCCCTGGATCAAGAATGTGTTAAATTAAAGGCCAACAAAATTATTAATGGAGGGCATTTTTGTGTTTTCATATGAGGTTGGGGTGCAAAGACAAAGTTTTTTAAAAATAAAGTGCAAAGTCCAATTTAGACAATAAAATGGGATGCAAACTCAAATTACCCCACCCCTAAAATAAATCATCTCATTTTTTGAATAGCTTAGGTAGAATGAAGAACAACTGTCATAGAATGTATGGTATGGGCTCCATGCGATCTTATTTTTATTCTTGTAGTGTGATCGATTAAAACATAATGTTCACTTTTAGAAGAGGAAGCACAATATGGCCTCGTTTGTTTTATGGTGGATTGATACCCTCCCGCTGCAAAAAGCAGTGTTTCTAAGTATAAAAACAATAGTGGATTGGGTAATCCGCTCCTTTCCAAACGGACCCTATATCTTCTTAAAATACATTATTAGTTTTAATTCTGACTAGATATTGATGGAATACATTCAGGGCGTCTTTAGCATTTCGGAGGTCCTACACAGAAAAAACTTACCGTGCAAAAATCATACTGAAAAGAGATAAATTGAATAAAAACACCATATGGAAAAAACATATTCAAAGTGTATGGTATAATATTTTTAATATTCATAAGGATAAGTTTTTAAATGCAATGATGCAAACATATGCAAAATACCTCGCACGCAGACTTGTTCTTGTAACACCCTATTGACATATTCTTTTTGTATTTTGAAGTGCAAAATCGGTAATAACATCACTCCAATGAATAGATACAATGAAAAAATAATTAAAATAAATAAAAATCAATCAATAACATAACAAATCAATTAATTAACAGAAAACCTAAAACTTCTATTCTTATAAATACAATGAATAATTAAACAAAGGAACACTAGTGGAAAAACGTCAAATAGAGGCGCTTCATTAAAGGCGCTTTTAAGCCAAAGCGCCTCTATTAGTCAAAATTTTATTTTTTAATATTTTTTACCGAATCGTGCGGCGCTTCTTAGGATAAAGCGCCTCTAATATATTCCCGAATTAGTTTTATATTTAAAAAACTAATGTTGCTTGCGACGCTTCTTACTCAAAAGCGCCATCAATTTGTTTACATTTTTTTAAAAAAATAAATGAAACGTGCGTGCGGCGCTTCGGGCCCAAAGCGCCTCAAATGAAAATAGATTATTCGGTATTTTCATTCCAATTGGAAATAGGTCTGCGGCTCTTGTACAGAAAAAGTGCCTCCAAAGTAACTAACCCTACTATACCCAGCCCATCGCTCACAACGATTCTCTATTGCGATTGAGAATCGATTTGTACCGGGGACGTGCCTGCGATTGAGAATCTGTACCAGCCGGGGACGTGCGCTAGCTGCTGCCGCCGAGTCAAATCGCCCACAGTTTTCTTGCCTCCGTCGAGTGTTGCCGTCCGCTTCTGTAGATTCCGTACCAGACCGCTCTCGGTGCTCTCTGTTGCCGCCGCCGTCGTCTACTCCCGCTAGTTGTTAACTTCTCCAGCTCGCCGTCAACTGTTCTGCCGCTCGCCTTCTACATAGGTAACTTCGTTTTTCATTCACTTTTTCACAAATTTTGGTTGATTTGATTTTTTAATGATTTTAGTTTGTTTTTTTTTGCTAAAGTATATTTCTATGTATGTTGAATATGATTATGAATAAACCATATATACTCTACCAGCCTTCCAAGTTCTAAGCTTTGACATTGAACCTATATATCTTGTTCTATCTCTTCATCTTCAAAACATATAGGTTCTCATTTATTCCTATTATGGGTTCTTATTGTAATTATCTCTAAGCGAGATGATAATATCGTCTAATCTTTGAAATATAGTTTCTGAAACCAGTTGGAGTTAGTTTTCAGTTTGAACTTTATCTAATCTCTGGTATAATTGATTACAGAGTACTACTTTTGTTCATCTTGAAATAGATTTAACGTAGTAGGTGATTACTCCTATCTATTTAGAAGTTTTTGAAATGGACATTCTCTCTAAAAATGATAACTTGTTGGAATATTATATTTGTCCATCATTTTATTTATTACGTAGTATTTGTTTGTATTGTTTGTTATTTTAGCACATCCTAAAATGAATGTTGTTTCTTCTAACTATACTAATATTACTTGTTCTTTCATTATAATCTTGCCAGGAGAGCAATTAAGTCCATCCACTAAATCAAATTAAATTTTTATTGATTTACAAGTTGTGTATTTAAACTTCTTTAGGGGGAAAAGGCAAATAATAATAGCATTATACTAATCAAATGCAAACATTTGTGGGCAAAGTATTAAGAAACGAAACCACTAGGCTGATCCTTGAAGTTTGACAGTGAGGAGCAATTCTTAAAACACACACTATATAAATGACATAAGTAGTTCGTAAAACACATGGCATAAATGACATAAGTAGTTACTAACACACACTGAACACTACAATTGGATGGCCAATTGAACGTTCATATGATATAATTATAATATAATGGCTATGTTTGACAAAATTTGTATTTATAATGGTGTGAACTTTAATGTTTTTGAGAAATAGTACAATATGTTAAATTTTATGTATGTGATTAGTATTGTTTAAGTTAACATAGATTTAGTTGAATATGTACATATAATGCCATAATAATAATAATAATAATAATTTTTTTGTTATTTTAAAATTATGTAATACTTGGTTTAGTTGGTAGATATTTTATATTATTTGCAAATTTAGCACTAAACCAATATGTGATATTAATTATATGCACGTTATATAATATGTGATTATTAGAAAAATGTAGAGTTCTTTTCAAGATGGATCGTTCTTGGATGTATGGTCGTCGAGACACGACTGAATTTTTCATTGGTGCAAATGGGTTCATCAAAGCTGCCGTTACACACCAGAAACAACAAGGATATAAAGGAATTTTATGTCCTTGCTTAAGGTGCCGAAACTTGAGAAGAGAGAGTGACGTCAATGTTATACTTCAACATCTATTGAGCGAGGTTTTAGAGAAAATTACACAATTTGGACATTACATGGTGAGACTTGCCAGGATGGTGAGAATGTTGTTTCACGAGCTGCCGCTAATAATTTAAAGCGCAAAGCCCCTGATACTACCACCGAGTTAAATTGGAACAGTGGCAACAATGGGGATGATGATTTTAATGATGATCAAATGGATGATTTTTTGAAGGATGTGCATGATAATTTTGAACAACAACCAAAATCATATGAAAGTATGGTTGATGCTGCCAGAATACCTTTGTATTCTACCTCTAGTTTTACCAAGCTGTCTGCGGTGTTGAAATTGTTTCATTTGAAAGCGAAACATGGATGGAGCAATGTCAGTTTTACAGAGTTATTGACATTAATTCAAGAGATGTTGCCTGAAGGGAATACACTTCCTGATACAACGTATAAGGCAAGAAAGTTATTGTGTCCCATGGGAGCTGAATGGGAGAAATTTCACGCTTGCCCCAATGATTGTGTGTTGTACCGGAATGAGTACCAAAACCTTGATGAATGTCCAACGTGTCATCTTTCTCGCTACAAGGCTAAAAGGAGTACCAATAGTGCTAGTGACACTGAGAGTTCCAAAATTCCTGCGAAAATTCTGTGGTATCTCCCCATAATTCCGAGATTTAAAAGGTTATTCATGAATGCAAAAGATTCCAAACATTTAGTTTGGCATTCTCAAGGTAGAAAAAAAGATGAGTACTTACGTCATGTGTCTGATTCTCCACAATGGAGGCAAATTGACTTGAAGTAATTGTTATTTTTTTTTACATCTGATGCTTATTTCTTTATGAAATTGCTTCATATTTTTTACTTTAATAATTATATTAGGAACCACCTGCTAAGTCAAAAAAAAAAAGGAATGACGCTAAGCAAAAAGTACCCTTTATCTTGAGAGATTCACCAAAAGTAACGGTTGAACCCAGCTCACATTCATTGGTCAGTGAAACTGTTCTTCATTCACTTAGTGGTGATCTTTTAAGATTGCATGATAATCTTGAGTGGTATGAGCCCGATCTTTGTAAGTTTAGTGTTCCTCTTCCTGCGGAGTTGTTCTGTTATATTGATGATAGCCAATTTGGGATCGTTGTTGACCGTCAAGACTTGAGTCAATTTCTTGAGAGTGATTCTATTGATATGTCAATTATTCAGACCTTTATGCTGTAAGTATTATATTAAGTTTATAAATACTCTTGAATATTTGTTAGACTTAATTACTAGTTAATTATTATAAATATCATAATTTCACGTGCAGTTGCCTAAATGCAAAATTGGTTGAATTTGGTCGTGATGATGTGGGTCTTTTATGTCCTTTGATTTGTTCTTTGAAGTATTATGAATTGGATAAAAAAGGCACACGGACTTATTTGAAGCATGCACTGATTCAAATGTTTGAAAAGAATCTCATTCTCTTGGCATATAATGAAGGGTATGATTCATATATTACATTCTAATCTCTTTAATGTATTGACAACAAGTATTTTTTACCCATTTTCTATTCTCTTGTGAAATATAGGTATCATTGGATTTTATTTGTAATTTGTCCAAAGGTGGATAAGGGCTATATATTCAATTCATTGCCAAGTTCATCCAATTTTGTTATTCAAGATGATCTTACGATGTATGTATTTTTAATCACTTACTTGTGATATTTAACATTTATATTTGTATGTCAACATTGAGCATGTATATATGTAAACATTGAGTTATCATTATAGGATGTATAGAGTTGCTTCTACACAAAAAGGTCGTGGCAAATCAATCAAATGGCATAATATCAAGGTAATTTCATCATCCATCTTCTCTTATTTACCCAAGTTATGCTTTAATTTAAAAAGAATCATATTATTTTTCATATAATATATAGTGTGCAAGACAAACGGGCAATACAGAATGTGGGTATTATGTCATGAAGTTTATGTGGGAAGTAATAACTTATGCTGGAACTGCAGATATTGGGCAGGTATATTAATTATATGTACTTCAGTAGGTGGATTTCATTAAATTATTTAACTTATTTATAATTTAGTTTTTCATTATTTATCTTATATTTAGTCTTCTTATGTATGAACATTTTTCAGGCTTGGAATTCAAGAAGTGAACCATATACGACGGAGGAGTTTAATGATATCAGAAATGCATGGGCTAGGTTTTTCGTAGATGAAGTTATGAATATGTAGTGGAATTTTGAGTATGAATCAAACTTGAATGTAATTTATTTCTACTGTGATACATATTTGAACTACTTTTCTAATCCAGGATTTATGAATGAATGTGTAGTTTTGGTTGGTGATTGATATGTAAATAAAACGGATGATAGGGCGTATTAAAAAATAACCATAAAAAAACAAAAACAATTGGAGGCGCTTTTTCAAACACAAGCGCCTTCAAAATAATTTTCGTAGTAGACTTCGGAGGCGCTTCTTTTGTCACAAGCGCCGCACAACTTTTAAAAATTGGCCAGCAAAAAAGAATATCAGAGGCGCTTGTTATTAAGGAAGCGCCGCAAATTTTCAAAAAAAATTCACGCGTGCGACGCTTTTTCTGTTAGAAGCGACGCAGATAATGGAATTAAATTAAATAAATAATAAAGATTAGAGGCGCTTTCTGGCTAAAAAGCGCCTCCATTATGGATTTGCGTCACATTCGCCGGAGGCGCTTCGAAGCGCCGCGCGTGCCCCAAAAAAAGCGCCTCTATTTGGCTTTTTTCCACCAGTGGAAAATTTGAAAATAATAATCTCAACTATTGTCGGTCCGCTGACAATAATCCCAACTATTGATTATTTTTGTATAATCCCAACTACATGGACCATTCACTAATAATGGTCCATGACCAGATATTACCTCCTATCACAAGTGAATTTTAAATAGAAATTAAGCATAAAAATTAAAAGTTGAGATTATTTATAGGGATTATTTGGTATATTTCTTCTCATCCACTTTAGAAACTACAGAAATTTATTTATAGGGACCATTGTTGGCGGAAAGTCCCTAAAGTTGGAATTATTCTGAAATAATCGATAGTTGGGAACTTGGGATTATTATGAGCGGACCGCTAGTAGTTGGAATTGGGATTATTACTTTCAATTTTTCCTTAAACAAAACAACTACTTACTTCTACCACTACCATCAAATAAATTAATTCATGTATTTATCAATGAAATAATGACCTGAATAATACTAGCAGCTTATGACCGGACACAAATAAGACTAGGCCTGTCAATGGGTCGGGTCTAGACCCAGACCCAACCCGGACCCGGTTTTTTAAAACGGGTATGGGTCCTTATTTTATTCCGTTTACCCGGACTCGGACCCGGACCCGTTAGTACTTTTAATAAACGGGTCGGGTATGTTACTTATGATTCCGAACCGTTAAGGACCCGGACCCGTTTAAAATTTCTTATTAGTATATACACACACACTAATACACAAAGAGATTAGTTATAATACTTCAAATAAAAATACAAACTAATACATATAAAGTGATTAGTTTTGATTCTTTGATTAAAAAGAAACGAATTAATACATACTTAATGTATAATTGATAATATAATAGTACGTAGTATATAATATGCTTTTAGTCCAAAAGAACTTTTTGTGACCTAATTTCTAGTCTAATATACGAGTTTTCTATGGAAGAGAAAGAGACACAAAGTGCGGAATTGTACACATCTGCAAGAACAGATATTTTATTGGATAAAAGTACTAATTTTCTATGATAAACCTTGATTTTATTTGAAAAGTGAAGATATATTTTGCTTTTAAATTTGTGCACTTTGATTTACATTTCATATACATGTTTTGCTATTTTTAAAATTTTATATAATGTTCTGTCAAAAAAAAAGTTATATAATGTTGTGCATATGATACTTGGCGGGTCTACCCGACCCGGTTCTGAGACCCGTTGGGTCCGGGTCCGGGTCCAAATTTTTAGACCCGCCGGGTAAACGGGTCGGGTTCGGGTCCTTTATTTACTTAGCGGGTCCGGGTTTGAAACACTACATCCCGACCCATTGACAGGCCTAAATAAGACCGGTCTTGAAAAACGACAGAAAAGAGACTAATTTAAACTGAAAGGACCAAAATGCCCATTATATAAAATCTAAAAACGCACCCCTGAACTATCCGAACACCTCCCATCTTTCCCCAGCCCGTGTTCTCTCTCCTCCATGACCAGTTTCACGAGCATGAGTGAAAACGAAGATTGAAGATGAGGCGCGGTGGCGGGCGACGCAGTCGAAGACGAGCGACGATGACGGGCACGACGGCGGTTGATGGTGATAAAGACGGCTGGAATCAATGGTCTCGACGATAGAGTTCGATATGTTGTGCGCTTGATTGAATCTAGGTTTTTTTTGGCCGATTGGGGGTCGAATCGATGGTGGACAGGATTTATAGGCCGCCGGTGGCAGCAATGGCTTCTCATCGCGGGCGGTGCAGTGCGTTTAGGGGGTGGTCGGCTTAGCCCTCGTGATATTGGCGGCTAGTTTGTGAGGCTGGGGATGGCTGGCCGGAACGGGGGCCTGGGAGGTGGGAATTGCGACTTGGCTGCTGAGCTGCTCGGATATGGAGCTACGGAGGGGGCTGGGCATGGGCCGGGGATTAAGGTGTGGCTGGGGCTGGGTATGAGGGGCTGGGTGTTAAACAAAGGTGGGGCTGGGATTGGGGTGGTAGGGCAGGGGGCTGGGTTTGGGTTGGAGACGGTCCGGGAGGTTGGCTACCGGAGTGATGGCGGTGATGGGTCACTCGCGGTGGTGGCTGGTAGTGGTGCTACCAGTGGTTACTATCGGGCATTGGCTCGGGTAATTGTTACCGATTGGATCGAGAAATTGTAACGAGTCGGATCGGGCAACTGTAACTACTCAGGTAACTGTAACTGGTCGGGTTGGGTAATTGTAACTGGTGACTCGAGCAACTGTAATTGCTCAAGTCAGGTAACTATAACTGGTCGGATCGAGTAATTGTAACTGGCGGGTGGAGTAACTGTAATTACTCAAGTTAGGTAATTGTAACTGGTCGAATTAGGTAATTGTAACTGATCAGATCAGATAACTGTAACTGGTGGGGTCCGGTAACTGTAACTGGTTAGATCAGATAACTGTAACTGGTCGAGTTTGGTAATTCTAACTCGCGGTGGGTAACTTTAATTGATCCGGTGGGTAATTGTAACTGTTCATGTGGAAAATTGGAATTGGTCGAAAGTGTAACTATAACTAGTAGAAATTGTAAATGGATACTAGATAATGTAAATGGGAAAACAAATATAAAAGTCAACCCTGATCTTTTTTTGTGGTCCTTGCCCGGAGCATTTTTGAGGAGGGATTCATACGTAGAACTGCATTAGGGAGTTCTATTTTTTTTGTTAGTAAACAGTACGGAGTTCTATTAGTTATGGCATACGGTGTATTAATTAGGGAGGGGTATTTTAGACATTTTGATCCTAATAGTTACTGAAAGAACACACGGATGGTCTCTCTTTTGGAATTGTTGAAAAGGGGTCCTATATTTGTCAAAACCCTTTTAACTAGTAATATTGATGACCTACCCCTTTATCAATTTTATCTTATTCATCTAACAAAAATTCTATAGGTACCCCAAAATGTATCTCATTTTGTACCCACTCCCTGAATTGCATGTGTACACAGGTAATTCGTTTGAAAGAGAGTAGAACTTTCTGTCCAAATGTCTGTGTACACAGACGGTGTACAAATTGAGGTACAAATTGGGGTACCCCAAGCAGGACTCTTCATCTAATTCTAATACTGCAAGTCAATAACCCAATACGGCGTTGCAATAAGCCAATGCATACTTCGTATAATATACGGAGTATTAACATACTATGTACATATATTTCAATTTAGGAGACAAATTAGAGAAATTAGAGAGAAAGACTCACAAGTGACGGGTCGAACACTCGGATAGATCACAGACGGACAGTCGCCGACTCGCCGCCTTGCTAGTCTCCTGCCGCCGGTCACAGGTCGCTGGTCTCTTTCATAGTTTGATCAATTCTTCAAGTTCAACAGTTCAACCTAGGGACATTTCGGTAGTTCGGTGGATGCTTGGAGTCGAGTATGTTGTATGCCCGTTTGTACGACCAGAGGTCCCCTAATATTAGTACAAGGGAAACTACCCTAAATAGAAGTAAATGAGTTCTGCAATTCTAAAATAGGACTACTATATTTTTTTTTCATTATGTTTGAAATAGGAGGTATTACTACCATTTATGAAAAATACTGTCATGATTGAAAAATAATGTCATTAATTACAATAAATGCAGCCATATAAAATGCACTGTACTGTAACTATTTTACAGTCACGCTTACTATGTTAGTCTTATTTAGGGAATAAAAAGATGATAGTCCCATATTGGAATTCCAAACTCCATTTACTCCTATTTTGGAAAATCTCCTTAATACAAAGAGTTTTGTCTTTTGGGGCCCCCATGGCATGTGAGGCCCAAGGCATTTGCCTGGCCCAACTGCCCTCAAAGACGCCACTGAATACATTATATCCACATATATATATATATATACACGAGTCAAAGACTCTCATTATTTTGGCTTGAGAATATGATGGAATAAATCAAAATGACTCGTACTTGCCGATATATAAAAAATGTCTCAAAAACTGTCTGTGTGTCTTTTTTATGAAGCAGCAATCAATCAATGCAATTTTCGACTCTATTTTCACTATGCATCATCCGGAAACAGTCTATCTGTGATATAGTACACATGTAAGACTGCGTACATCTGACTCCCTTACCCCACCAATGGTGGGAGCCTTTGCGGCACTGGGGTAATGATGAAGAATGATGAAGAAGAAACTAACTAGAAATTTAAAAATAAAATAAATTTGTCTTGAAGAGTCTTGTTTTGTGTACACTTGTTTCTATAAAGATTAATTTATCCAAAAATGGATAAATTATTTGTGTGTAAACAATTTATCGACAATTTGTCACTGAACAAAAAATTGTACAAATATAATTTTTGTATCTTTAATTCTAAAAAATCGATTGCATTGTTAATTTGTCAAGATTTAATTCTAAAACTGTTTATGCATTTGGGGGGGGGGGGGTGGGGGGTGAATGAGAAAAGACATTTACCATATATTATAAAAAATAAGTTTGAGTACAATAACATAAAAGAGTGATAAAACTAAAGAAAGGGAAAACAAGTGTGGGGAGATTGCATAAAAGAAAGTTTTTTTTTACAAAGAAGGGAAATAGTACATGTGATAATGCATAAAAGAAAGTTAATTAAGGATTTTCAAAGTTGTTGATCGCGGTTTG